TATTGTTTAAGAAAGAGGCAGTTGATCAGACTTCCTGCCATGTTTGTGATTAGTTCACGCAGATCTCAGTAAACCACCATTCTTTATCTCATAAGAGGGAGTATTTAATACTAAAAATTTGATAAGGTTAAGATGACCATGTTCTGGTCTAGATACATGGTCTGCTTTTTGCATACATGTACAGGTTTTATTAACTAAACATTGTCACATCGGATTTTTTTTTGTAACAAAAAGATGTACATGTTTGGCGGTACACATTGTTTTCAAATGCAGAATGTAAAACGCGTCCTGGACAACACCAGTTTTTATCTTAGCAATCTAAGAACACAACAACACAACCTGTACACTCAACTGTGATATATAAACTCAACGACACAGACCTTTAACTCAACTATAATCTATATAAACACAATTACACAATCTGTAAACACAACGGACATATATAAACACAACAACAAGACAGTCTGTCGTTACAATAGTTTAGCCTGCAGAAAAAACAACATTGTTGCACTTTTAAACAGAACATACTCTATATATGGCAGGGTAAACTAAAACAAATGTCTACATTTTTAGCATGCCAATGTTTTAAACCATTCCTAAAGCACAAAACATGAATATTTTGACAAAGTGTGAACAATTTTATTCTTTATGTCTATATGAGATGTCATATATTAGATGTCGCAACACAGACAAATGCAATTAAAATTCTTAAGTCTGGAGTTAAGTAATTTGTATTTATTGATATTAGTACGGTCTCATAATCTATTTCAGCACATTAAGTGTCCAAGATTGAGTACCGCTCAAGCCGGTGCTAGGGGGCGTGAGGGATGTTTCACTTTTTCATTATCCCTCATGTGCAGACTCAATTAAACCGATTGTGCAATTTTCATGTAATTTTGCTGATTTAAATGCTTCCGAGGGACCACTTTTTACCAGATAATTACAACATATCTCAGTATGACTTACAACATATATAATGATATTGCCATATTTGTCTTTTAATCAAAATCCTTGACAAAGTTATTGACATTGATTTCACAAGACTATGTTGAGATGCCAGACATTCTGTTCCTCAGATAATATGGTAGACATTTGTCACGAGTATGAAACAGTAAGAATAGTGCTGGCTGACTTTGTCACTTTGTTACCATTGTAATAACTATCTGATAACACTTAACTGTTACATTAGTCTATCAGCGAGACTACCATCTAAACATTGTTGTCCTTTGCTCTTATAAGGAATACAAAATCGAACACCTCTACATATCCTTTCTGGTTTTCAAAGTTAACGGGTATTAGATAACCATCAGTCGTTCTTCACTAAAGACCTGCATACATCTTTTACATGTATTTCATTATCAGTGTAAATCAATCCGAATTCATCGAGTATATAATTAAATTTTGGAATATTCTTTTTACCGTCAGGCCAGTGGAAGCTTGTAAGCCAAAGTTCTGTCAGAAAGACAAGGTATGTTTTGTTCCTCACTTTTTTCATAGTTTCAAACTAAACTGTTATATTTGTATAAACGGTTCTACGTGTATCGAGAGCATATGAAACTATTAATAAATCTTTGCGATTCTTTTGAAGTAGGTTGGCTGCAAGTCAGTGAAGTGACGAACAATTGTTCACAAGTTAGTGGATCGCTCACTGTGCTTATCCAATTAACAATGCACTGTTTTGTTCACAGATAGATAAAACATGACTTCTTGACACTGGATACACATCTACGCCTCGAAATTGCTAAATGAATTATTTATTGCATTAATTTCTTCCAAATTATTGAATTATGAATTGTTTGTGTACGTGACATATGGCGTGGATAACGGATTAAAGTTTTGTATCTTATATCCTTAAGCGCTCAAGAGTGGCTTTAAATTCGAAATAAGTCAAGATGATAAATCCCCTCGGCACCAATTCTTTTCAGACAGCCTATCAAGTCAAACAAAAGAAACGTTAAAATGTTTTTAAATGAGTGATATGTCACAATCAGCATTTAACAAAGGTTGAAGGATATCTCTGGGGCAATACTATTTTAGTTTAAAAATTAACAAAAATTTGAGTTTATGGTATTTTTATTGTATAATATTTATAAACTTTACGGAAAAGTAGTTCTGTATATGCAAGCATCTTTTTAAAACGAATTTTGAATATACATGTACAAAGTTTAAGTACATTATTTTTATATTTTATAACTATGTAAACTGCTAGTTTGTTTTCAAAATTGTCAAACATGTTGTCGATATTATGCCTTAAAAATGTATCAAACCAAGTTTTAATATCTTAATGCTCCTCAATTGACGAAATTATCAGCAAATACGACTTTAGCGTTTATTCTTAAAAATAATTATTATTTTCATGCTGTTTAAATATCGTTCTTAACATGCAAGTGGGTAAACAACGGTACATTGTCGATTGATTTGTTACAGCGCCTTGCGGGTATTGTCTGATGTCTCCGCCGTGCCAGTCATGAAGTCACGGAGTCTAGTTCTCGCTTTCATAAACCGCGTATTAAATAGTCCCAGCATCAATGTCGCTGGAGTATTGTGTTTCTATGTGAACAATAGAGAAGGAGTTTGGATCACTTCATCTCACCTTTAATGTTGCGAAAGAGAGTAGAGACATAGTGATTTCCCACCCGGTCGCTTTTATTTCTTTCTAATAAAATACTACCTTAAACACGCAGTGATATTTAGTGGCGCCATGTTGTATTCATCCGCTTAGCTTTATTACATATCAAACTCGCGTGCCAGTCAAGATGTTATTTTTCTAGCTACGTGGCGGAAGACTTGTGAAGTAATATGAACAGTGAGGCTCCAAATTAAAGTCAGTCTCACAAAGTGCAATCCATTCATTTCGTATAAAACGTCTTTTTACTTATGAAAGACTGAAAAAAGCTCATTAATATAATATCCTGTAATGTATTTATGTATCTGTTTAGTCTGAATTGATAGATCTAATTAGCAATCATCTTGTTTGGTCTACATATCATAAAATATAAAAGAAGGTTTTGATTTTGTATAAATTGTTATGTAACAAGACTCTTACTGTATATCTATCACAACGTTCGTAACAATGTGAGATCAAACAGTATAATGCAGACTCTACTGTAGTGATCAATTTGTCTCATCAGACATGTGCGGATTCTGCCGTTCTCATCAAATAGAAAACCTACATTACTCAACTCGTCTATTTAAGTCTGTTACATTGGCAACCTGTGATTAAAAGGTTCAATTGGTAAAGAAAAAATGTTTAATTAGAGAATACTTAAGTGCATATGGTACAATGTTTAGTATAGTGGCCATTACCCTACCTATTTCACTGAAAATCTAGCATTTCAAGAGTGGCATAATGGTCTGGAAACACTTTAAAAAACAACAATGTATTATCATGCATGTCTTTAGTTTCCTAAAAAATGAAATAAAATAAAATTTACATGCAGTCTTTATAACAGGAAATCAGATCATTTTACGGTGATATTTTTGTTTTATGAGTTTTTGTATTTGAAATCAATGGCCCTTTAAATGGGTGATTTTTCAACTTGTTATCTTTAGCCCCTACACCTGTTTCAAATCGTAAAACAAAAGAAATTTCTTTTTTTGCCTATGCAAGAGTAAATACTATACGACCAAAACGACTTAACGGCAGCACAGCAGGACTCTGTTCAACATTATCGTTTATTTCGCACACCATGTCTGATGTGTTCGAACCCTACTTGGACCATGACTATCAGTGCTATGCAGAATATAAAAATGTTAAAATGTGCATCCAACTTTTATCACAGACAAGCTAAAATATATATACTTTGAACATTCATTGAAACGTTATCATTTACCACGCTTAATATTTGAATTGGACTTGTCCATCTTTTATTCTTGACAAAACCATTCATCAGTTTTAGGGAACTTATCAGAGACTTATACAACATAAAGTATAGTTCCATGCACTATTCACTCCACTGTGTTTATACGTGCAATTATTTGTTATGGGTTACTAAAAGGCCCATTATGCCCCAGAAATGCCTTGATTGTTATTTCTCAAAAGCTTTTTATACTTGGTGTCATGTTATAGTTTAGATACTCACTGGCCAATTACCTGAATTATATTTTGCTTCGGTTACTTTCTGGGATTAGCACAATTAAAAATATTTCGTATTTTGTATGGAAGTCAAAATACTACTTTGTTTACATTTATGACAAACAGTTTTACATTTAGCACTACTTTATTAAGGTAATAAGCATCTTACATGCTCTAAAACATTGTTGAAACATTTTAAAACTCAAATGATTTTGGCAAGTGTTAGATGCATGATCTGATATATTTTTATATTAATTATATTTAAATGTTAATACTAAATCACTAAGAACTTTATAAATGACATTTCAAGCAATATTTCATAGGAATAGCCAAATGATACTTTTCTATTGTTTTTATCAATATTTTAGATACTTAAAGAAAAGAAAATATGCCCTTTGTAAACCAATTCACTTTTATATATTTGTGGTTTTCACGAAATAACCACAGATTCGATTGTATTCAATAAAAGAGCAAATGCAAGTTTGGAAATGAATGAATGGACGAGATGAAGGTTATTTACTAAATATAAATCCTACATTCATGAAGGAATAATTTTGTTTGTGTTTGAATTGCTCATAGATTAAACTAACGAGATGATGATAGACCATAAGAACAAGGCAGAACAGAACACAATATTAAGGTCACATAGACTGTGTAATCCTTTTTTAACAAATTATTCTTCTCTTCAGATTTCGACTTGTTTATTTTTCTCTGTGACAAAATATGTACACCTTTACCTATTATACAGGTTTAATTAAACGATAAGACAGTAAGTTTAACGAACTAAAAAAACTTACAGTTCTATCGCGGTATCAAACAATCAAGTACTGTTCGTTTTAAATAGTTTTTTAAGTTAACCCTTTTCAAGCATGTTAAAGTGATACAAATTGAAATATAAACGCTGAAACAGCCCACTCAATTGTTATAGTAAGATACTCGAGGAATTTAGCTGCTTCTATATCGAATTACTACACCAGGATTAACGCTAATTGGTGTCGCTTTTAAGTGTTAAATTAGTGCATGTTAAAAAAATAAGGAAATTACAGTAGACTTAAAGGAAACTTCTTATCCGGATTGAACAGTTTTGATAATTCTAAAGTTGTGAAATAACAAATAGCGCAACAAAAACAACAACAATAAGATAAACGCTCTTTTCGGAACTCCTTAGTTTTTATCCGCCTTCTTCATAGATTTTACCCGCGGTTGGTTTTATCGCTTCAGAGTTTGCTTAGACACTCGATAAGGTGTTAAAAGTGTTAATTGACAAGCTTTTGACAGACGTAGAGGAAACAATTATGATTTGTTACTACTTTAATGGGTAAAGAAGATGTGAAAAAGAAACACCGCGCAGTATTTGCACAGTGATAAATCTACCGGGATACGCATTTAAAGCTGAAATAGTGACAAAATTCAGAGGCATTTGTTACAAACACGTTTTCATTGTAGAAAACGGCGGCGTTAACAATAGAAATACTTTAGATGAACTTTTAGTAGAGTTTTATCAGTAATGGTTAATATCTTTTGTCCTGTTATTAATTCTGTGAAATTCCGAGGAGTCAATCAATTCACTACTTCAACTTAGGATGGACACGTAACACAAAAAGAAGTGATCGATTCTCTAGTAGCGTTGATCGCCCCGGATTATCTTCTATTGTTTGGGTGATTACTGATGAATGTGTGCCGAATCATTCGGGATTTTCCTTAACGAATTCGGTAGATATGAATTAAAGATGTTCTGAAGAGATTGCTAAAGAAATTAAAGAGTTCTCCGTGGGATCGTAACCTGTGGGAAAAAGAAAAGAAATTGAACTGTTGTGGAATTTATTACGTACGAATGAATTGATTTTTTTTTAAAGATTAGATTAAAAATAACGTTTAATTGAAAATTTTAAAGGATAATAATAAAAAGAAGACGGATTTGACAGTGATAAATTATTGTTAAAAACTGCATAACTAATATTGTGAAATAAATGTGACATTGTTAGAATAAACATGCTCTTGGATAAAGTACCTAAACGATAAAGAAATAGCAAAATATGGAATAAAATCATGTCTTGAGAGGAATTTATTATAAACAGATCGCTGCAGGTTATTTTTTATAAAAAGGTGAGTTTGAACTACTTGAAAATCGGGAACAAATATTCTACTTTATTCAGATATCATACTTAAACCTGTTATAATACGCTAAATAAGTTTGTTCAATTTAACTTCTTTATATTATTATCAAATGACTTGCCAGCTGTAGAATCTCCTTGTAAACTAGCTATGAAATAATCACACACAAAATTACGAAAGAAGAACATAAACGATATTCTGTATATAATTGTTGAGCAGGACTCCTTAAAACGCTTTTGAACTTTGAGGAGTCTTATGAATAACAAAACGAGGTAAAATAGGTTCAGTTATTGTTGCGCTCGTTTAAATCAATTTTAAAAGATTTAAATTGATTGTTCAAAAGGATGATGGGAAATTAAACGTCTGATCGTGCGTGCTAAATACTTGACAAGTTACTCCGAAAAAAACTTGATCGTAATTTGTGTGTTTTTTGGGGCATTTGGAGAGAATAAACATGAAATTATGATCGTTTGAAATATTGACGATTGAAAAGATAAAACCAATAAAATAACTGTTGAGATATATGATAAACTCACTTGTTGCTGTGTGATATTTTATTATATGGCATATGATATATAAATCATACAACAGGTTAGTTCAACTGAAAAAAAAACGAAGAAAAAAAACAAAAAAAAAACGAGCAAAACGCAACAAACAATTTTGTAATAAATATACTATTAGACAACTGTTCGAACCTGATTAAGGGTAGTATGTAGGTCCTACATTTTACCAACAATATTTTTTTATAAGCGTAAAGTCATTTTTTATCTTTCATTTTTTAATCGACATTTTTGTAATAATTTTTGAATCTGTTACACTATAATTATTTTGATTACAAGACCGAATACATAGATAAACCATTGCTAAATAGTTTCATTAATTCACATACAATCTATTACTTCTTACAAATTTGAATAAACCAATTTCTTTTTTTTCCCGACCTGGCAACGTATATTTTTTTTATCAAAAAGAAAACCAGGTGAAGTTTTAAATAACGTGTGTCAGTGTATTCTCTCAATGTTTTGACAAAATTGGTGGCAATTTTCTGTTGAGATTTTTATCAACATTCTTAATTTACTGTGATAATTATCCCAATAAGCTTGATTAAGATCTAATAACTAGGTGGAATAGACTGTCGGTCACCCACGATACGGATGCTTAACATTAACGCGCCAAGTTCCCACACAAATATACACATATTTTATCTTTATCAAAGTAAAGAAAGTATCATCTTTATCAAACTAGGTGCATAATTGTTATATAAAAATAGAAAACTAGATAGATGCTGCCTGAATGTCTTGTATTTATAATATTATACGCGTACAGCACTTAGTCTCATCTCTAAAGTAGCAACAGGTACATGATTCAAGTCTCTCACGCTATATTTTTACGCTATATTTATTTTTCTACTTTTATATTTAATTAGCGAAGAAAGCAAACGCTGAACCTACATTGTTTTTGTTAAGACAGTTAGCGTATGTTGAAATGAATGATACATGTATTTTTGTATCAAAATCCTTTTGAGTAAAGCTAAAATAATTATCAACTGCGTTAGGACTTTTTCATCTAACAGGGTTTAAAAAATGTTCAAACGGACAGACCGATAGCTTAAGCTTTACTTTAGATACAATTAATGAAAACGTATGAAAACCGTTACGTTAAAGGCTGCTGAGATTTAGCTTAAAACTGGTATAAAATATATGCTACAATAACTGTAAAAATAGAGCGAGAAAATGAAATTAGAAATGTATCAGGTCGATCTATTTGAGTCGACATTCTGTAGTAGATGAATATTACTAGCGTATAATTAATATTTAATGGCGCACTAGGCTTATTAAATGGTAAGTGAATGTCGCCGTACAGGGGTAAAATATACTGTTAATTTGACAGTTATGTTAAATATCACAATATACGGCGTCTTAGAAATAAACGAGCATAAAAAATGGAGGAGAAATTTCAATCAAATATTTTTTAGGTATAATTAACGTTAATTTAAAGAAAATTTATGAAGAAAAAATGTGGTGCAAATTTGTATAGTGACAAATATCGTTCCATTTTATGTCTGTCTTAACACTTTTAAAACAATTTTAACTACATTGATAACATTTTACGCATGTAATTGAATGAAAAATATATTCCTTGAGATGAAAGGAAAAAGTTTTATAGATTTGAATCAGATGCGGTAGAAAATTTGGACATAACAAAATAATATTTCAGGTTCTTATTATAATGTTAAGTTATAAAGTGTTCTTATTATAATGTTAAGTTAGCAAGTGTTTTGTCATATGACTATACCGTGATATATGACTATTGTAAGATACTAGTGTAAGGTATTTACACTTAGATTTATCTTAAATGTATATTTATAAGATAAAATCCAAGAATGAATTGCAAAGTCAGATTTTATAACGTATCATTTTACATGAAATAATTATTTCTTTTCTGTCATAGTAAAAGAGACGAAACACCGAAAAACCCAATAAAAACCCCAGAAATCCGAATGTTCAGCTTCTGATGATAAAATTAAAAGTGAAAACAAGTTCTTTGCAAAAATGTGTAAAATAATAATTGATAAACGAATCCATCCGAATAAAAAGTTTTTTATGTTTAACATGTTTAAAGTATAAGATCTATGTACAACGAGCAAGCTCTATGTACAACGTGCAAGCTCTATGTACAACGTGCAAGCTCTATGTACAATGTGCGAGTTCTATGTACAACGTGCAAGCTCTATGTACAATGTGCGAGCTCTATGTACAACGTGCAAGCTCTATGTACAATGTGCGAGCTCTATGTACAATGTGTAAGCTCTATGTACAATGTGCGAGCTCTATGTACAACGTGCAAGCTCTATGTACAATGTGCGAGCTCTATGTTTAATATGCGAGCTCTATGTATAATATGCGAGCTCTATGTATAATATGCGAGCTCTATGTACAATGTGCAGGCTCTTCAATGTATATGTACAACGCACACTCAGACCAATTGGGCATATTGAATTCGTATTTTTGATTATTCTTTGGTGTTCAGGAAATCTATGAAATCTATAAATATTGAAAAAGTTTGTATCTTCAGCCATTTGTCTTACAGAGATTAACTGGAATAATGTAAAATCAAAACTGAATTATCATAGCTCATCTGTAAAATACATCCTGATAGGCGTTTAAAAATGATATCAATTCTAAGCGATATTTTTTTCTTCTAATCATCATACATATCCAATGAAGTCATGATATTTAAATATCTATGAGTAAGATAGATAAAGTAAAGAAACAAAAGAATGTTATGCACTAAAGTATATGTAAAATATCAGTTTGTCAGTTTATTTTGGCTAGCTTGGTAACTGACACATCAGAGAAGTGGTATCATGGGGTGAGGTATCTATATTAACAGTCTAGGATTGTAGAATTAAGGCGCGAGAAGATAATATGTTAAGGCGAGTTCGTTTCGAATACAGTCGTTTGTGGACACTTCACATGGGCCAGATCATGCGGGTTACAAGGCAGTTTCTGATATAAGCTATCTTTGTAAGTAACCATACTGAGAATGGGTCAAAAACCTTGTATTTCTACCCTGGCAGTGTAATAATACAGTCTCCAATTTAAAAGACACGCCTACTACTTCATTTGATTTGACATTTTTAGAATATCATCAAAGTTTCAATTGAAAAAAAGTTACATCTTAGAAAAATTATTTAGTAACTGCGTTAATAGGATAAAACATAGTTTATAAACTCACGAAATGGAACTTAAGCAAGATAACGTATTACAAGTTATATTAGAAAACATTGAAATTTCTTCTCAGGTAAAATTCTTAAAAAATTATATTAATTAAAGACATGGATGAAGTAATTAAAGACTGGGATGAAAACAATAGTGCACAATATGATTTTTGTAGGTTTTGTTCTATTCAGTTCTGTTAGGCATTTTCTATGTACAGTTGCTTACAACTTTGTACTGTCATCGACGAGCAACAACAATGTCGTACATATTTTTTTTCGAATCTGTTATGGAATGACTGTACTTGTACTGCTCAATGCGTTTTTAAATACCCTTAACATGATGTTGGAAATTATCATTCCATCTTAACTGTGAAACATGATAACCTTGAATGAAACATAAAATCTAGTTTTATTTAACTTTATATTGGTTTATTTACGATCCTCGTTATATTGTAACATGATTTTGTCATTCATAACATGCAGTATTTACATTACTGGTTCCCGTACTGGGTCGCATGTTCATCATTTATCATTTTGTGTTTTCATTATTACATTACGCTCAACTAAACCTTAAATTTGAATGAAATGGCGACAAGAAAAAACCAAGTTGTACAGCTATAAAACAGGGTCGTACAGTTTTTTGCCGAAATGGATACAGTTATGTAATGAACGCGTGTGATTTCATGAAATCTGTCTTATATATCATTTATATTATTTTACATAACTAGTTGTTTTCTACGTGTTTTTTTAAATATGATAATGAGTATAAAAATATAACAGAAATAGAAAGCTATAACACTAGCTTTATTCTGACTTTTTTTGCCTTTATAGCGAGATTTAGATTTAGGTTCAGACCACCATGTTATGTTCGTTTTTTGGAAGTTTTGAAAGTTACCGTAACACAGACGCCGGATTGAACCAAGCGTTTTATGAGAAATTAATGATTTTTTTATCGAGATTAAAATTTTGAAACAAATGAAATTGATGAATATTGTCTAAGGAAGAAATGGTTTGGAATGAAAAGTGTCTTTTATTTACATATAGTAAAAATCCGAATTATTGATTTGATATCAACATTTAATTTTCATGCGCATTTGATTGATATAAAGCGGTGACACGGTAAGATGTGCAAAAACAGGAGAATTTCTAAAATGCTATATAGAAAGGTTAAGGATTTGCTATTAGTATTAGCCAGATACTATTTCGTCCGTCGTCCAGTGTCATCAGTTATCATATCTGATATTGCTTCATTGAACCTAAGTATCTAAAATTTAACTTGATAGTAAAAGAACTTATGAATGGAGATAGTTCGTTTCCAGAATCCTTTAGATCAATTGAAAATTATTCGCGTATACCATGTCAGAAAAAATCCTTTATATTATTTTATGTTATTTGACTAATTTATCAATGGCCAATCAGATTCCAAGGTTTCAGACTGTGATTTTAAAATGACGAATGAAATTTGTACATATATTCAGTTCTTCCCTGTAAATTTTACAGGAAGTCAAACTGAAAACAGACTGGCCGTCGGCCCCAAAATAATAATCGAATAAATGTTATTGTAATAAAAAAGTATCGTTTAAGTATTTAGAAATAAGACTTTGTATTAAATAATGTTCAATTTGGTTATAGCATTAGAATGGAATGCGTTATAATTAAATGGCACTGAAACTTTTGAATCGGAACGGCAAAATTGACTCAGAAATATTCCATTATCATTAATCATAACATCTGAATACTAAAATCAGGAATACATTCAGTCAGACCTTTGGCACCTTTGAGTATTAAAGTATGTAAAAAAGAAACCGTATGAAAATGTGGATATAACATCAGTTTCATGTCATCATAACATTATATGTCAAAACATGCCAAATTGTGGTTAAAGGTATCCAAAAATCTGTTATATACGAATATACATCCTGTTACATCATTGTTTAGGTATGTGTTCATTTGTTGTTACCAACTAATTACTGAATAGAAATTATGTTTTAGTAAACTTTGTCTGTTTTATTATGTCTTGTTAACGAATATACCCGTACTTGTATATTCATCTTTTTTATTATATATTAACATTAAGCAACTATTGAAAATCTAAACTTTTATTACACACTATAAGAAATATTATTTTGCCTATAGCTATTAGATTGACAGAGTTAAATTCCAAATCTAGTAATAATTGAAAAACAGACAATCTTGGATGAAGAGAAATATAAATTAAGAAAGTGTCAATATATGAATTTATTGAACAAATATTTACATTTACTTTTAATTCAGGAGATATAACTTATATTAAACTTTAAATAATATACCTAATCAATCAATATGAACTTACAATAAGATTGTATATAATAATGCAGACATAAGTCTCAAAATTTGATTGTCTTGTAAACACACTTTGTTTACGGTGCCGTATATACCGCGACGACGGAAGTTCACTTGGTTTCCCGCATCAAAGACTGTAAACTACGCTTGCGCATACATTTTGGTATACTATTTTGTTCTTTATGGCAAATATTTCGATTAAAAGAAATGACAACTTCACTAAAATAGTTAAAAGTTAGACCGCAATGATGAGTATACAGTATACTTGAATTACTTTTGTTTGCACAGCGTTCGAGTAGCCATTGCACGTCTGACGTCATGCGTATAATTATGCTTCTTTTCCTGAAGCAGTCAAAAGTTGTTTAAATAACATCTTAACACTTTACACTATGTGTTTCTTTTAATCAAATATATAAAATTCTGCCGGTAAAACATCACATCAAATTCAATGGCTTACTAGTCAATATTTTATATTTTATAATAGAGTTAGTTTATATCTTTTATTTATGTCTTCAACAAAAATTGGATTATTACAGATACTCGTAGATTTTGTTGTGTTTTTATACAAATTGCTGACCGGATATAAGGGGGAATATAACATTGCTGATATGGATATAACCATGTCACATTCTGTTCACTATATCCCGTCAGAAACTTATATTACTAACATTACAATCTGATTGACAGACACTATACGACGCTGCTGTATATTCGTATACAACAAAAAATAACCTAAATTTATGTATAATTTAATTTCTTTTTTTCATTCTTATAATTTTAAGAGTATTACCAAGACAAGACAGGACACTAACCCTTACCATGAGAGAAACAAAAGAGTTTTCGTGCAAAATGACCAAGCTTTTATTCTGTTGGCGTATTAACTTTATTTTTTCATACTTATATCCCAAAGTTTTAAAAATGGAACCTTAAGAAATTCAGCCGATAAAGATTAAAGACGAAAATATGAGCAATAAGGCAATTTGTCACACGGCTAGAAACTGTATTCCGGTTAATAGGTTTATACTAAATGATACTGTGGAGAAACATAATATGATATAACTACTTGAAGTAAAAATTCCTGGGTAATCATTCGTAAGACTTTATTCTTCACGTTAACGAAGTTCTCTCGTGATAATTGTCGGCATGAAATACAAACTGACATTAAATACAGCTTATCCGCTGACCTCGGCTCTCCGCTCACTGCTATTCAGTCATATAATATTTGAGCCGCGTCATGACAAAACCAACATAATTGGTTTGCGACCAGCATGGATCCAGACCAGCCTGCGCATCCGCGCAGTCTGATCAGGATCCATGCTGTTCGCTATCAGTTTCTCTACTTGTTATAGTTTGTAAGCGAACAGCATGGATCCTGATCAGACTGCGCGGATGCGCAGGCTGGTCTGGATCCATGCTGGTCGCAAACCCACTATGCCGGTTTTGTCGTGACACGGCTCATTTATGTTTCTAAAATTAGGAGGTGTGTGATATACCAAACCTAAAAAAATCTAAGTAAACGTATATTGGGGAACAACTAAAAACCACCAACATTTTTGTATGAAAACATTTACCGATTTTTTTCAGATTATTATATATTATAAATTCTTAAATAAAGTAATACAATCTTGAAAATATTTTTGCGCTGTTTTAAAACTTTGACATCCTTATTATTCTAGACTTCAATATTTACTTGGCTAATGTACCAGCATGGTGTTTATAAGGTTGTATCACTAATGATACTGGTCCTCGGAAACTGTATAGGTGGGATGAAATATACAGGGGTGTGAAACCTTACGAATTGAAAATAAACTGGTGGACCTTTTATATAAATAAACCCACACTTTAGAACCAAACTGAGACTGCAAATATTACTATACAAAATCTATGAAAACTGAAAAGGGAAAGGCAACATTTAATTAAGATGAATATACAATGACTCCTTTATTCATAATAAAAACATAATAAAAACTAGTGTCGTTTGTAAACTTTATTATATTGTACAAAGAAAGTAAAATATTATAATTTCATTTTTTTAATTAAGACGCACCACAGACATAAAGTTTTACTCTTGCAGCTTCCTCCTTTAATGTAAGATCACTATAAAACAAAATTAATAAAGGTTCAAATATTATTATCATTATTATATCAATTAATGGGTCTTTAACTTTATCAGAACAGATCAATTTGATATAGTAATAAATTTATACAATATGAAACTTGCACATAATGTTTAAAGGAAAATAAATGACGTTAAATGTAACGGACAAGTCAGTATGAGATGGTATAAAATGAAAATTTGATACGAAAATAACAGCGCCCTCAACATTTCGCCACATTACTAGGACTGTTAAATATAAAATTGAAACGTAAATATGATGTACTTAATAATACAGTGTAAAAATCTAAGTACGCATTTTTCGGCGCCGAATTTATAATGTATGTTTTATTAACACAAATTATGTTTCAATGACTTTTCATTCCTATTAAACTGATCGCTCCACGCACTGAGTGAACCCTGAACATAGACTTTCGGTAAGGGTGGCCTGAATGTATTAAGATAATGCGAAATGAAGAAATTTAATTGATTGCTACTTATCATTTAATTGTGACGAAATTCTTTAATTAAAAACAGGCGTTCTATACTTAACATGACAAGTTCTCAATTTTATACTGAAACTTTTTGATTGTGGCGTCCGAGAATTGAAAAGGTTAATAATGAAAAAAAAATCAATTTCTAATAATATATTTTCGTCATTTCATCGCCAGTGAGTATAAAAGATAATTCTGGGGTTATTTCATAATTTGAGTCTAATTTTATATACGTCTGTCACTAAGTGTTAATATCATGAACTTTTCTGCCAATTTGTCTGGAAGGGTGGTGTCTGTTATTGCTAATTTATCCGTGCATTTTAGTTCTATAACATTTTACATATTTGAACAAATCTTTGCTATGCTTATTGTATATCTATAATAGTTTCCTTATTTATGCGTGAATTGTCTGACAGGTATTTTATTTGTATTACACCTTTAACTAACGGAATGGTGGTTTAACTAATTATAAAATGTTTAATATATCTAATGTTTCTATATTACAGATGTGATGAAGCAGTTACAATGATTGTTGTACGAATGAATCTTCTCATATTGGTCACGTTGATCAAACTGGGAGAAGGTACACATGCTTTCCTTGACCTTCTGAAGGAAGCCGAGTACGAGCCTAACTCGGAACCTATAACATTCCATCGCCGTGGTACCTCAAGACCGGCTCCGTCAGATAAGCTGCCGGTCTTAGACCTTATAGAAAATCCAAGTTCTATGTTTGATCCGCCGGAGTCGGAGCTAAACCATAGAAAACTAAGAAAAGCTCTTGGTAGAGACTTTGATTCGGAGTACATGGGTATCGGCCGTCCTATAATTGCCGTGTTTCAACCGAATGGGACGGTTACTGTTAAAAAGCGAAAGGGACGGCCTAAAGGAAGGCGGCCGGACTATATTCAAAATGTTGGAAAACCAATACGATATGGAAATCAAATGAGACTGCCAGGATTAAATGTTAATAGGAGGACTAAAAGGAAAATAAAGAAATATATGTGGAATTACACGCATTGTCCGGTAGTGTACGCATGGAAGGATTTAGGCATCAGATTCTGGCCGCAGTGGATAAAAGAGGGCCACTGTTATAATGGACGATCATGCTCGATACCCCCGGGGATGAGTTGTCGGCCGACAGGTTCTGAAACACGAACAATATTTAGATGGCATTGTCCATTGAATAAGAAAGGTCAGCTCATGAAATGTAAATGGATTAGAATTCAGTATCCAATAATAACAGAGTGTTCATGTTCATGTTAAATAATTGCTTTCATTTAAAAGATGAATTATAGTGCGCCAAGTGTTGTGTGTAAATATTTAACACTGTTACATTACGGGTTAATTCTGGTACCGGTAAGGTGCATATAGAAATTGTTGAATATTTTGAACATATTTTGACGTTTGTGTATATTTATTGAAATATGTTTGAGATTTCTCTGTACCTCGTTCAGGACTGTTTACTTTGAATAAATGGTGGGATGTAGGCCAGTCATTCGGATATTACCAAGTAAAAAGTTGTTAAGTGTTTTAACTTTAGCATATATATGCTAGAATATGATAATGTAAATACTGAAACCACTTTTGTCTAGATTTAGATATTGTTTTCTCAAAATGTTATAACGTAAATTTATACAGATTAATATTGAAATTGATACAAATATATCTGAGTCGGAAACAATACAAAATGTATAGACATAGAAAAGTTATATAATACTATAGGCTGGTCAATAACTGATTTTTGTTTGACCTTGAACAGTACAAAGCTTTATATGCTAAGCATTATACATGCATTAGTTTAAATGTTACTTTGACACAATGAGCAATGTTTCATGTTGAAAAACGACTTATAGTTCAATCAAACACCTTTGATTCCTTTTTAAAAAACATTATGAAATTGATAAAATATATGCGACTTTTTAAATTGTGAAATATTTAAACGACGAATTGTTTAACTCTCGTAATTATATCATAAATAAAAAGCACACGAAAATTTACAACATTGAAACTATATACACTTCCTAGATGAATTGATTTGGTAAAATAAATTTATCCTAATTTGTAAGTATAGTTTTACAAAAGAGTCATGTAGAGTATTACCCTATATTTGCAGTTATTTAGAAATTAATTTATGTTGAACCCCAAATTCAAATAATGAAGTTTAGTAATTTAAATTATTGAATACATATAATTAATCGTTTTATGTATATCATATCATTAGAAAATTTGGCACTCTCCGATAATCATTTTTGTTTGATTTTGAATATGAAAATGTACAGTTTGAAAAATTGAAAACCTTAGATGGGCCAATAATTTTATTGTTTGACTTTTACATATGACGTTTGTCGTTATAAGAGGCAATCAAAACTGTTTTAAACAATTTCAGACCGTGGTCAACCAGTATACGTATATCGAAAATATTGTACACAACTTAGTTAATTCTAATTTAAAATATATCTATTGAAATTTAGTTTTGAAACAAGCTTTTACTATTTATATTAATTGCTTTATGAGTTGTATGACTTGATTTTATATAATGTTAGTATTAACCCAATTTAAGATTCAAAAAAACTCTTAAATGTGTTCTTATATGGAAATAAAAATTTTCTTTTTTAAATCAATTAAAAAAAATCAGCTGATTTTGTTTTAAGAAACCATACACACTGACATGGTCAAGTAGAAAAAGTCACATGTTTGTTTTTTTTGTTTTATGTATACTGAAATAATATGCCAAATGATTTGCATGTTACACGTTTCTTTGAATTGTATTGTTATGTGAATAAATCGTGAATAATAAATCACATTATGTTGTTTTCTTATATTGGATACACTAAATTAATTAAGTCAATAGACCTGTGACCAGTATGAGGTATGACAGGAAGACCGTTTCTGTATCAAAGAAACAAATGAGCCGCGTCACGACCAAACCAACGTTATGCGTTATGCTCATCGATACTTTATTGTTCAAGATTCAGTTCCTATAATCCCTGTCAAATCAGCGAAAGATAAAGCAGAGCATCCAAATAAATGTTTTGAACTCGCCTCTCATAATAGCTGCAAGATGCAAGACAAGTAATCAAACATTTGAAGCAAGTCAAATTGCAATATCTCTCCCAAATACAGAAGACAAGCCTAGCCCTACCATCCTTCAATTTACAAGGAAGTAATTTATCATACTATTATAGACTGTCATGTTGAGTAACGCATATCAGCTCTCCTTATTAGAATTGAAATATATACATAAACGTATAAATACGCATTTACGTTTAACTACCCTTCCTTGTGTAAGGAAGAAAAAATGACATAATTAAAACGATTTTAATAGTAATTATTCTCATTGTTTTTAACAAACATAACATACATGAAAAAAAGTCTGTTTACCCTTTGACAAACTCTAAGGACATCATACTCAAATTGCTGACAAGGTTTTCCGTAAGACATCAATCCATACTGGGTTGATAGAACCAGGATCGTTTTCGACCATAGCCTTTTGTATCGTTTGAGAACAAGATATTTCTTTTACGATAGCGAAAAAGTTTTTAAATATGAGTGACTTTGATAAATTGATGTGCGAACTAATATTTAGAATATTGCAACAAAAACACCACCACACTGACTTCAAACACCAATGATGTGAAGATTTCTCCAAATACCACACAGAAATAAAGTCATGATCAACTCACCTTTTTTACGACCTAATATTCAAAAACAATAGTCCTAAATAATAGATTACAGTCGCCTTATTCACACTGGTAACTACTACTTTGCAAAAATGTCATTTTCAAACAGATACTTTCAACTAAGCACTTTGAATGAAATGTCTGAACTTCATCAGACGATTAAATATTACATGATTTTGATATGATTGATCATTGATTATACTGTATTATAAAATTACATAATATCTGTTCGAACCTCAAGGCGTTCCCTACGATCTGCTTAAATCCCTTGCTTGACTATAGACCGAATGAGTAAAAGGGACATAACTTGAAAGGCTTTAAACTTTAAGTTTCAAACGCAGTTTTCTGCCTTATTACAAATTCAGTTGTACTAAACCTTAGCTCGAACTCGCACAATATTCTATATTACTTTTATTATTGTTTTTTGTCTGGACACCTTTCTTAAACTTCAGTATTTGTTGCATTTACTTCTTCAATTTTTCAAGCTATTTATATTCCTAAAATTTATATATAAATGAATAATATTATGTCAATATTGCGTTTTGCCAATGTTACGCCTACTTTTCATACTGTTTGTCCGTTGAATGTTGCATTAGAACATGATATGTCATGCTCATCCATATTTTATTGTTAAAAATTCAATTCCTTTAACTCCTGTCAAATCAGTAAAATATAAAGGTTTATTCCAGAGCATCCAAATAAATGTCTCGAACACGCCTCCGAAAATAGCAGCAAGACAAGTAATCAAACATTTGAAGCAAGTCAACTTGTGATATCACTGGCCTAGCCCTACCATCCTTTTTTATATTAAAGTAATTTATCATACTATTATAGACTGTCATGTTGAGTAACGCATATCAGCTATTCTTATTAGAATTGAAATATATACATGTACGTATAAATATGCATTTACGTTTAACTACCCTTCCTTGTGTAAGGAATAAAAATAACATAATTAAAACGATTTTAACTGTAATTATTCTCATTGTTTTTAACAAACATAACATACATGAAAAACAAAAGTCTTTTTAACTCTTTGACAAACTCTAAGGACATCATACACAAATTGCTGACAAGGTTTTCCGTAAGACATCAATCCATACTGGGTTGATAGAACCAGGATCGCTTTCGACCATAGCCTTTTGTATCGTTTGAGAACAAGTTATTTCTTTTACAATAGCGAAAAAGTTTTTTTAAATGAGTGACTTTAATAAATTGATGTGCGTACTAACACTTAGAATATTGCAACCAAAACACCATCACACTGACTTAAAAAACACCAATGTTGTGAAGATTTCTCCAAATATCACACAGAAATATATAGTCATGATCAACTCACCTTTTTTACGATCGAATATTCAAAAACAATAGTCCTAAATAATAGATTACAGTCGCCTTATTCACACTGGTAACTACTACTTTGCAAAAATGTCATTTTCAAACAGATACTTTCAACTAAGCACTTTGAATGAAATGTCTGAACTTTATCAGACGATTAAATATTACATGATTTTGATATGATTGATCATTGATTATACTGTATTATAAAATTACATAATATCTGTTCGAACCTCAAGGCGTTCCCTACGATCTGCTTAAATCCCTTGCTTGACTATAGACCGAATGAGTAAAAGGGACATAACTTGAAAGGCTTTAAACTTTAAGTTTCAAACGCAGTTACCTGCCTTATTACACATTCAGTTGTAATAAACCTTAGCTCGAACTCGCACAATATTCTGTATTACTTTTTTATTGTTTTTTAGTCTGCACACCTTTCTTAAACTTCAGTATTTGATGCATTTACTTTTTCAATTTTTCAAGCTATTTATATTCCTAATTTATATATAAATGAATAATATTAAGTCAATTTTGCGTTTTGCCAATGTAATGCCTACTCTTCATACTGTTTTTCCGTCGAATGTTGATTTAGAACATGATATGTCATGCTCATCCATATTTTATTGTTCAAAATTCAATTTCTTTAACTCCTGTCAAATCAGTAAAATATAAAGGTTTGTTCCAGAGCATCCAAATAAATGTCTCGAACACGCCTCCGAAAATAGCAGCAAGACAAGTAATCAAACATTTGAAGCAAGTCAACTTGTGATATCACTGGCCTAGCCCTACCATCCTTTTTTATATTAAAGTAATTTATCATACTATTATAGACTGTCATGTTGAGTAACGCATATCAGCTATTCTTATTAGAATTGAAATATATACATGTACGTATAAATATGCATTTACGTTTCACTACCCTTCCTTGTGTAAGGAATAAAAATAACATAATTAAAACGATTTTAACTGTAATTATTCTCATTGTTTGTAACAAACATAACATACATGAAAAAAAGTCTGTTTACCCTTTGACAAACTCTAAGGACATCATACTCAAATTGCTGACAAGGTTTTCCGTAAGACATCAATCCATACTGAGTTGATAGAACCAGGATCGTTTTCGACCATAGCATTTTGTATCGTTTGAGAACAAGTTATTTCTTTTACGACAGCAAAAAAAGTTTTTAAATATGAGTACTTTGATAAATTGATGTGCGAACTAACATTTAGAATATTGCAACAAAAACACCACCACACTGACTTCAAACACCAATGTTGTGAAGATTTCTCCAAATATCACACAGAAATAAAGTCATGATCAACTCACCTTTTATACGATCGAATATTCAAAAACAATATTCCTAAATTAAAGATTTACAACCGCCTTATTCACACTGGTAACTACTTTGCAAAAATGTCATTTTCAAACAGATACTTTCAACTAAGCACTTTGAACGAAACGTCTGAACTTTATCAGACGATTAAATATTACATGATTTTGATATGATTGATCATTGATTATACTGTATTATAAAATTACATAATATCTGTTCGAACCTCAAGGCGTTCCCTACGATCTGCTTAAATCCCTTGCTTGACTATAGACCGAATGAGTAAAAGGGACATAACTTGAAAGGCTTTAAACTTTAAGTTCAAACGCAGTTTTCTGCCTTATTACAAATTCAGTTGTACTAAACCTTAGCTCGAACTCGCACAATATTCTGTATTACTTTTATTATTGTTTTTTTGTGTGTCTGCACACCTTTCTTAAACTTCAGTATTTGTTGCATTTACTTCTTCAATTTTTCAAGCTATTTATATTCCTAATTTATATATAAATGAATACTATTATGTCAATATTGCGTTTTGCCAATGTTATGCCTACTTTTCATACTGTTTGTCCGTCGAATGTTGCATTATAACATGATATGTCATGCTCATCCATATTTTATTGTTAAAAATTCAATTCCTTTAATTCCTGTCAAATCAGTAAAATATAAAGGTTTATTCCAGAGCATCCAAATAAATGTCTTGAACACGCCTGCAAGGTGCAAGACATTAATCAAACATTTGTATAGAATGTCAAATTGTAATATCTCTCCCAATACAGGACAAGCATAGCCCTACCATCCTTCAATTTACATGGAAGTAATTCATCATAATATTATAGACTGTCATGTTGAGTAACGCATATCAGCTCTCCTTATTAGAATTAAAATATATACATGTACAAATATGCATTTACGATTCACTACTCTTTCTTGTGTAAGGAAGAAAAAATACAGAATAAAAACGATTTTAATTGTAATTATTCTCATTGTTTTGAACAAACATAACAAAGGTTTTCCGTAGGTCATCAATCCATACTGGGTTGATAGAACCAGGATAGCCTTTTGTATCGTTACGATAGCGAAGAGTGACTTTAATAAATTGATGTGCGTACTAACACTTAGAATATTGCAACAAAAACACCATCACACTGACTTTTAACACCTATGTTGTGAAGATTTCTCAAATATCACACAGAAATATAGTCATGATCAACTAACCTGTTTTACGATCGAATATTCAAAAACAATAGTCCTAAATAATAGATTACAGCCGCCTTATTCACACTGGTAACTACTTTGCAAAAATGTCATTTTCAGACAGATACTTTCAACTAAGCACTTTGAACTTTATCAGACGATTAAATATTACAGGATTTTGATATGATTCATCATTGAGTATACTGTATTATAAAATCATATAATATAAAGAGTTTTAAAACCAATCTGCTGTCAGA